TACCACTCACGATTAGCAGAGTGAGTTTTGCGCGTAAAATTACCAGAGCTCGCCTACAAGATTCAGTGCTGCTTTTTCAGGATTACACGCTGGATCTTTACTTGAGACAAATCTGGAAAGATCCACGGTTGGCGTGGGAGAGCGATGTGCAATCATCACTAACAATAGGTGAGTCATTCGTCTACTTTTCTCATTTTTTCTTTCATTTTCTTCCTACATCCACTCGCTGTCATTCACCCGATTCCATATGGGTTGTGTGGCCGTTGGAGCATAGCTGACACTTCTATTCATCGTGACTAATTAGATTAATTTGCGTGTTTTCTACACACATCACATTATAGTTGAGGTTACTCAGATCATCAGACGCTCCCATGTAGGTAGGCTAGGGAATGCGATTGGTATCCTTTTTTACCCGGTTTTTGGAGAGCGACTGAAGAATGCGTCGGTTTTGATTGCAGGCTCGGGTGAGTATGCGCTGGAAATTGTTACGCAGGTATTTACTACATGCATGGTAGAGGGATAATTAAGGGTAAGGCAAAGACGTAAGCAATCCCATCGAATTCCACTCAGGACGGGAATATCTACTAATTATCGGAAATTACTGGTCAGGGTTTGCACAAATCAGCGGTTCGTTGCAGCCACAATTGCAGATTCGACTCGGCGGTCCGCCCACGTCCTAACGCGGAATTCGCGAAAAAAACTATGTCAGTCCCAAAGGCACATTCCGCGATTATCCTGCTGAAGCCATTCCCACGTGAATGATGGATGTAGCTAGGTCTGCAACCGTAAAGTTAGCTGCAGACTGCTTCTAAACCGTGACTTAAAGGCACAGCCCTCGATCAAATTGATGTGGTAATTCCACTCTAATGCTGAAGTAGATATACGAAGTAGGCCGCCGGTGGAGGAAATCACTAGAAACATCAAAAATAGGGACATTGCTCTACGCTGCCAAAATTCAAAGGGCAAACAGCGCGAAAAGAGATAGTGTAGTGTCGGAAAGTGGCGCGGTCACTGTAGGGGCTCACCTAGCTCCTCTATCTACAAGAAGGACTTATTCAGTGAGTTTGAGCCTGAACCTCTCTTTGAAACATGTGGCAAAGGCGTTGGCGACCAATGACCTGCAACTCACCCGTCGTTGCCAATACTTTGGTGTCTGCGTCTCCTCTCGTCCGCTGTGCTCCTCGTCTCCGAACCTGTTCACTCACGTCGGCGCGCAGTCTGTTTTACACTGACTGCCTTACAGCGCTCAAAAAACTGGTCACATTTTTTTGATATTTTCGGCGGTTTCTTCTTCCTCTTCTTCCCGAACGTGCAATCCATTTCGCACCTCTACTTTTGTTCTCGAATGCACTCTCGCGCATACGTGATCTTGTGATCGTATAACTTCTAATCTCGCAGGAGATGTACAAACAGAAGGTCATGCGTTCATTAACGTACCAACGGCAGGTGATGTCTATTTGCATTTTATGTAAGGGGTTCGTCATGTACTTGGGGTCGGTGAAAGTGGGACGACTGAGGTTGTCTTATTTGTAGGAGTAGAAGTTGAAGGGGTGGTGGCTTGGGAAGGGGGTCGTTTTTAGTTGATTTGCTAGTTGCTCACAGAGCTTGAGGGCAGGCTTACAGGTCAGAATTATGTCACCACGATGGATTTACTAGTGAGGCCAAGTTTACTGCGATCCCTAATATAAGAGAATCCTCGTAAATCACCATCTTGTCACATGAATTGAGCATAACACAGCAAACTTATTGGAGACCACGAAAACAGCTATTTCATTCAGGTGTAACGACCACCTAGTCTTCATGTTCTAGTGCACGCGAACGACGTCTATTCCGCGATGATGGAGCCTATTTGGCCTATCATCAAGTCAGTACCAGGAATCACCTGCCAGTTCAAATATATCGGGCTATAAAAACCTGGGCCCTCTGCATTCAAGCGAGTAATAGTAAAATGATAATGGTGGATTCTGCACATCAGTGAAATCGGGGTAGCGCCTCCCCCCCCCCCCCATCCCAGGGCCCGTCGCGCGACGAAGTCAGAGACGCAGGCGCGGCAGAGGACGAGTCGCACCGCATACTGTAGCGGAGGCGTCAAGTCAAAATATAACGCATTACAGTACGTCCCACACCATTCACTCCACGGCGTGGGCTCAAAAATGCGATATCTGCTTATCACGCCGCTTATACTTCTTTTCTTTGTACTGTAAATCCCTCCCATTCACTGGGGGTACCGCACGCCGTGGAGTGAATGGTGTGGGACGTACTGTAATGCGGTGCGACTCATCCTCTGCCGCGCCTGCGTCTCTGACTTCGTCGCGCGACGGGCCTCCTGGGGATGCCCAGAGGAATCGTGCACGGAAATCATGTGGTCCCATATCCCTCACAAATGAACAGCTTGAGAATTATCCTTCACGATGAGAACAAGCAGGACGAGAAAATTCTTTTAGTAAACAATCTCAGAAAAATAAAAACACGGATTATTACTTGTTCAAATCCTCGCTCACCTCTTGAAGTGCAGTACTAAGAAACCTTTTTAGGCCTCCACACCTGTAACAAGAAAATTTCGGCCTCCTACTCGAACCTGCTCTTTTGCCACAAGATATTTTTCCGTCACTCTTCAAACTCTGGTGCTTTAAAGGCAAACTCCGGGATTGAACAGGTGCTATCAGCGCTTTGTAGTGATAGCTTAGCTGCGGAACGACCTGAAAGTGGAAAGGAAAGCAAGAGAAATCTTTGGAACGCTGAAATTAAGGCCTTAACCTTCAATAGGGTCGGATGTGGTACGATGGCGAGAAAGGGCGGTCAAAGAAGAGCACGTCGTTTGAGAGAGCACGCTGATCTCACCACCACTCGCTCGCGGGTGGGAAGCGTTGGAACGGGAGTCGATGGTTGCAGGCCCGTAAGGATTAGCGCCCTAACCGCGCAATTTTTGCGACGAAGCTGGAGTGATCTAGGTAGTACGGACCTTACAATTTCCCTCGTGGTATCCCTCCTACTAGTCGGGCTAATCCCGGGGTTTGCCTTTAATACAAATCCTTCCACGACGCGTCACCTAATACTTGGCCGTTCCACCACGCAGATCTATCCATGTGTAACCTTGGCTCCACCCAGGTGTCCGCGAGCTGTCCACGGACACAAGGATGGATCGCCTTTTCGCAAAATGACTTTTATGCACATATCTTTGTGCGCTACATGTAGTGACAATAACGTATGACGTATCAAGCGGGGAGAAGGAGTATCGATTCTGCGAGCACGACTCCGTGATCATTTTTTTGAAGCCCCTAAGGGGACCACACTAGTTATCTTCATCTTCAACTTCAACGGAGATCTCATTCAGGTTGTGATTTGTGGAAGATCAGAAATTCAAAACCTCCACTGACATAAAAAAAACAATCGAAATTGGCTTGTTCTTGTGGGATCCATTTTCACTGCGATTCAATCTTCCGCAATTATTTGCTGCGATAAAAATAATTTATTGGCGCTAGAAATTGATTTATGGCCCTAGCAACGTGAAAACTGACGTCAGTAATAATCGAATAAGCTGGAAAAAACAATTTGAGGCCCGAAAAATGAAATGTGGTCTGGGGGTACATAGCATTCGCATTTAACTAAAAGAGGCGGGACTGTCACTGGGCGGAGTTTCTCACTTCCAAATTGCGACCAGTGGACTTAGTTGGCAGGGTTTGCAATCTGAGGAAATAATTAGGTGCTGATTACAGTACCTTCCCAAACATCCTAGACCATAATTCGCATGATCGTTTCTCCGTCGTCGCTCGAGTATAAGATATGGTGATATCGGATTGAGCGCGTGCGAGACGATGGATATCCACACAGCGCGCGGCCTGACAATAAGTGTAGAATCAGACCTTTATATCCCTTGTCGAGAGGTTCTCATATGCGAATAATCTCTCATGGGGTTTTTTATAGGAACTCTTGCATGTCATTAGAAATCAATCCGCATCCCAGGAATAATGTCCTTTGCATATTAGATAGTGCATGGCTCTTCGCGATGAAGAAGCGCCAACAGCAGGCTGCTTGAGTGGGGCGAACGAGCACGCCATGAGAGCATGTTTTGCTCAACAGAGGACCTCATCCTTTCTCGAACTTTAAGCGGGCGATCCGACGGGACCAACAAAAACCACGCAAAGACCCGTTCTCGCCTTATTTAGTGCTCATTTTAGGCATTGACATGGTGAAAACGATCTGGACGCCCGACACGTTCTTCCCAAACGAGAAAAAATCATTTTTCCACGAGGCCACATCACACAATTCGTTTCTTCGGATCGATAACCATGGGAACGTATTGCGGAGTATTCGATTGACCGTAACCGCTAATTGTCCAATGAATTTGCATACGGTAAGCGTTTATCTTTCGAGGACAATGGACAAAGTTTCCGGTGTCGATCGAATGCATTGTGGGATGCGCCACGCATTCTACTTCCACTTGGGATCGCCCAGCATTTTAAATGCACTTTGGCAACCCAATGACTTGCGAGGGGAAGCCGGTGTGCAACTCTTTTCTTTGCCCCAGACGATACTGATACCACCTAACGGACCCGAGGGTAGATGTGCTCGCCTGGCACGAATTTTCTTTTTACAAAGACCCAACAATGCCAGTTTATCAGGAACGATCCTTCCATCCCTTCTTCGAATCACAAATAAGACCCCCTTGTTTAAATTGGCCCAACAGCCGGTTTATCTTGTGTTAGGAAATGCTTAGGATCTCACCGGGAATATGCCCCTACATAGGACAGCGGGAATAGCGAGATTATGGCGATCTCTAGCTGGGTGAGAAAACCAAGAGTGAGCTTCCTCGTCAATTCTTCGGCCACAGACATGGCTCCTTTTTTAGATTTTTTAATTTCATTTCCATTTTCACTACTGCTTTAGCTACAGGCAAACTCGACCCATGGTAAAGGAGATGGAAATGAGATGATGTGTGGGCGTTAGAACGACAGCATCGTGGGAGATAGAAAAGACAAGCAAAAAGTCTTGCCGAGAGAACTTTATCGAGAGTCCTTTCAACACGAATTCCCGTTGATGAATCAATGAGTGTTTTTAAGAGCTCAGGGATACGTGACCAAGTCCTGGGTGGGAGAGCTGCTAACTGAAATCATAATAAATAATTCAGCGGCAATCACTCTGACAAGTTTGTTGTTAAAAATGGTCGAGAGGGCGCAGTTAATTTAGTTCATCCATCCATGGTCCGTAAAAACTACTCTCGTCAAGGGTAGGTCAAAACTTCGTCAGATCCCTCCCCCCCCATGTATATAAAATGCACTTATCTTCGTGCCAGTTACTTATATCCAAAAAAGAGACGCACATTTCATAATGTTTCAGAATCGATTTGTAACAGACCCTAGAATTCAGAGCAAGTCGAGTGCGCGGCGCAGCCCGAAAGTAGAATTTGATCAATATGAAGTATTTTCTGGCCCCTGCTTTCTCCAACTATTGAGAAGTGCAATAGAGTTAACCGAGAATTATCAAGTGATATGATTTCAGTTCCCATTGGACATTCAGGAATGCGCTCTGGAAATTGAGGTGAGTCACACTCTAAACTCTAAGTACTGGTTACATTTATAAATTATTGAATTCCTTTTTAAATTTGATTTGCTGTTTCTTCCGTTAAATTACGTTTTCCTTGAGATCTCTCTTCTACATTGTTTACAAATTTCGCTTTTATTTATTTTTTTGCAATTAGAATGAATGTTCCTTCCTTCTCACTTGATCACTTTTGAGCATTCTTGGAAGAACAATTTAAAGATGTTTGACGGAATTTTAAGGGAATTCGGAAAAGTTTTTAAAATCAATGGTCTCTGGATTTATTATTTCAGAACGCTATGCAAAAAATTGTAATTTCTATTGAATTATGCAAAAATACTAGAAACTTTGCTAGAATAAATTTTGTCCACGCGGTTTCTGAGCATCTAGCTCAAAATTTCTCTCTCAAAAATTATACCAGGATTTACCTAAAGCCGAGTTGGGCCATATTGTAAATTACGCTTCTTTTTTTCATTATTTTTTATTTTTCTGCCATGTTTTCACTTTTTCAATGTTTTTTTTTCACATGGCTCCTATTATTATTTCCATTCTACACATTCAATATGATACAACTTAATGCTGACCAAATTGGAAAGTCTAAGTTCTCTCCGAGTGATGGCCAGAATTCAACTTTGTTGCAATTGCAGTTTTGGGGGTGTTCTGAGCATCAAAATAGGAGCATGGGCTCAAGAATTGTTTCTCGACAATTACTCCTGCCTTTCGCAAATCTTTTCTTTTTCATTTTTTAAATTTTTTTTTAGTTTTTTTTTTTGAAATCTTACCCTGCCTTTCAAAATAGCGTGATGTCATTATTGTTCCGCAAAATGGGCAACAACGTTATGCTTAACATGTGCTTGTTCAGAGTTACGGCTACTCGACTAGGGATATCATTTACCACTGGCACGATGCCAACGCGGTCACTATCGACGAGAATGTCCATTTAGCTCATTTCTCTATTGGTGACCATTATCCATATTGAGAGGACAATTTCGCTCAGTACCGGTACGATTTAAAATTTCCATTTGTTATGAGTTATTTACCGAATATTATAATTGAGCTTGACAAACGTTCTTGCTCCTTAAAATCAATTTTTCGAAATATTGGGGCAAAGATAAAGCAGTAACTAAAAGGCGCCGGGCCGCATTTCCGGGATTCATATCCGCTGTGACCAACCAAGCATTCCATCTCTTTGAAGCCGTTTGATTCATGATCGACCTATGAACGGGGAGCGAACAAGCCGAAACCAAACATCTGCATCCAAAAAATCATTGGTTCTGACAAACACTTATCCAAGTGATCCAGATGTTGAATGGCGGCCATAGACATGGCCCATCCCAAACTGATGACCGAATAGCCAGTTTTTATCCTTTGGTGTCCGGCTGAAGTGGTGTGATAACAAATGGCCAGCAATCACACATCTCTTAATCCTGCCCATTTCCCATATGGGCCAAACAGGCTTTCCCTCCCTTCGTGGGCAGTTAATCCCTGCCGTACTCGTCATAAAGGATGAAAACACTGACTTCTAAGGGTCGGCTATACTCGATCGTTCCTCGCAATTCGTCGTATGGGCTGAACCGAATCGCATTCAAATGCCACTACAATTTCGATTGGATGTGGAATGCATGGCGCATTGCAACAATGATTCCGAGGCCCAATGTTCATCATTTCATCCTATACATAGTGTCATTGTTCAAAAGGAAATAATATCATTCAATATTTTTCATCGTTCTGCATTTTTCAGAGGATTCTCAATTTTTTCATGCATTCATGTTCCAGGCAATTATTCACGTCTTTCGGCCTATTTCACGTTCAAACGGAACCTCGGCTTCTATCTGATTCAGATCTATTTTCCATCGTCACTAATCGTCGTCATCTCATGGGTGTCGTTTTGGCTGAACAGAGAAGCAGTTCAAGCTCGAGTTGCCATTGGTACGATTTATTTGTATGCACTGGAGTAAACAAGCTATGGTAAAAACCGCTTTGGGAATTTCCAGAGTTTTCAAAGTTATCCTATGGGTAGAAGGAAAAGTCTCTGAAGAGAGTCAAGAAGTCAAGATTGGTAAGCCGGAGCACGTTGTTTATTAAAGGCAGAGAGCCCTTTTATAAGAGACGGATCGGTCTTGATGGCTCTTTGGACGTCATTGGTGGAGCGGATTCCCTCAACGCCCCCGGGGGGGGGGGGTGATTAGGATCGCCTTCTTTGGTCGCGCTCTTCCGCCAATGACGTCATCAAAACCCCTTCGCCTTGCAACCATCGTGTTCTCTGCCTTTCAATACCACTGCGCATTCCATAGTGATCGATCAATACTATAAATTTTTCCACGTAATTCATTTTTTGTTGGGCGGAAGTGGTGTAGTGGCAAGTGGCGCGCTTACCACGCGAGCGGTCCGGGGATCAAATCCTGGGTCGTGAGTCGCCCGGGCCAACCAAGCCTTCCATCCCTCCGGGGTCGGTTAATTGGTACCAGACTTGTCTGGGAGGATAAAAACACTGACTTGTACATCGGCTGGCCCCCGCAAGTCATTGTATAGGCCACATCGCATTCAATTGCCACTAGGGTTCTGAGTGAAAGTGGTGTGCGTGGCGCATCCCAAAACGCAGTTCTTGAACGCCTTATGCTTTATTTTTTTGTCCTGCATTCTTACTTTATGAGACGTTGCGAAGTGGATTTTCTTTGGACAGCTTGTTGATGAAGGATGGCATGAATTAACTTCATTACTACATTGCCCTCATAGCTTCATCAGGTTGCAAAGGTCGCTGTGATGCCCCGTAAATTCGTAAGAATCTGGCAATTTTTGATGAATCCAATCAGTCAATCCAATTTTTGACATTCCTCTTTCCCTAAAATCCGTGCTAATCAAAAGCCTTGAACAGGCTCAAGGCTTATGTTTTATGGGATTTCCTTCCAATTTAGGCAGGATCTTATGCTTTTCGGTTTGCAGGAAACATTGGATTTAGCCATTAGAAGACAGAAATAATCCTGCTTTCGGTGTGAAAATCGGTTTATATGAGGACAGTGCCGTCCACATGAAAATTGTTGTTTAGCATAACCCATTTAAGGATTTCGTCTTCCCTATTCAGTTCCCTATAGCGCTTTCAAGGCAGAGT